TAAGCTTGTAGCGTGGCGTCGATTCGAGATTGACTATGAACACCGCTACCAAGAAGCTCGTTCCAAATGACTCCATAAAATCCCCGAGAAATCAAATATCAGAAAGCAATTAACGGACCAAGTCGAGGTTTATTTGCCGGCTATCTCGTGGCATCGAAAGGATACCTAGGTCCCATATAGCAAGAAAAGATGACCAGACGCTGCTAAATTTAGTAAGCTATCAGAAGAGTGTTTACCAACGACAAACTCGTTGGGTTTACACTTCTGGCTGGCCACGTCTTAGGGTCATCACTACCTCAATAGGGGAGGGGATGATCTGTAGCAGTAAATAAATCCCTAAAATAAATGGCTTTTTAAGTTTTTGACATTGGATGCTGACCATATGTTTTAGTGGACTCATCTTGTTGAAGGCGCTCGGTCATGCATCCGCACCAGATCACGTGTGGTAACGCTGTGCTCAACATCTACCGCAATCGCTAGCCAGATTAGACCAGAGAATTCCGATATATTGGTTATCGCCAAATGCACTCTTCCGATCTCCTCGACTCTGTCTTTTGATTTCTCTCGGTGGGAACAAAGTATATTATAAGGTGTTACTGGTAGAAGCGTTGTCAAACACTGAATACCTGTATCATCCTCACAACCAACGGACATCCAGTATCTTGCGTAGACAATTGTTTATAAATACTTGTCCTTTATTGATGATGATCATGATAGCTTTCCAAGTTTCAGTTCCATATAGTGGGACTGTATTGACATTTGTATTGAGGATTCTGACTTTGATATTGGTTTGAAGGCAATTGCTTTGAGTTCCGTATGTTCTTCAATTTTAGAAATGCGGCCCGTGGTTTGACGATTCTCAACTTTCAGCCTGCATCCGATCCCCTTGTTCATCAATAGTACTTTTCAGGTACATTAAAGATTCAACATGTCCTTGAGTTTTTCCACCAAGTGTAAATAGGTTGATATTCTCCTTGTTGCATTTGGGAATCATGCTTATTTACCTATGAAATATTATATTTAAAATTTTTCTTGCCACAATCCATGAACCGTAAATTCTTTTCAATCCTGGAGCTAGATTTCACTAGTGGTGTTAAACGATGAAGTCAGACGACTACGTATTTAAAGCACTGCTTCATATATAGATTGTCGTAGTGTATACATGTATGGTACATCACTGAAATGGACTGTTGTGTATTAGCTTGTGATGAGTGATACATCAGCGAATAGAAAAAATAATTTTTTTAATATTGTAGTCCATGTTTCTACTCGGATTTGACGTTGTAATTTAGAAGAAAAAGCTATTAATAGGGATCATACAATCTGGTTCAGAATTCCTTGATTGGAAATTGTCTCCTTCTGTTTATAAATAATCACATTTCTAGTGTATTGAGAGAGCTCTGAATTTATTATCCATCCTATAATTCAGTACATTTACCTTGATACCTACTGGTCATAAAAACTGGTATTCTTACCTACTAATGTCCATTAAATCAATGAATAAACGATAAGTTGATGAATAATTTGACATTTTAATGAAATCATTTTACGTTTGTTATATGTAGGTATTCAGTGGAACCTGTACTGAGTGTTAAAATACACATTGCGACTATTAGTTATGAATTTGAATTGATCTACTTCAGAAAACATTACATTCCAGAAATGAATTTCTAGGCATTAACCAATGAAGAAATGGTAGGCAATACTAACAAATTAAAAGGAGCATCGGTGATATACAAAGAATTTCTCTCGATAAACATTCATTTTCAAACACTCAGTAACTAGAAACTAAAGGTTTAAAGAAACAATAATCAGCTGAAGGCTTACATCAGTTTTAAAGGAGTCAAAATGTGGGAATAATCAACAGAAGACCAAACGATTTCCTTGTGGTATAATTTAATATGTAGTGAACGAGAACACAAATGGGGACAATCAAATGTATTGGAATACAAAATTATAGGACATTTTAATAAAATCTGAGAACCACCATACAGTAAATACTTCATTTGCACAATGTCAATCAATTGTCTCAAACTTCACTGTCCCTTCGTTTCCACACCCACCACTACCTGTTCTCATTCTCTTTTCTTCCATCTACTTAACCTTTGACTTCCGAACAATGATACATACCACTTATGTCTATCAACATCAGTAGCACACACTACAAATAGTTTCAATTCAGTCTAATAATCGTTTCTTAATAAGCTAATCATTTCTCTCAGAAACCTCCTTTGATACATTATTGTCTGTTTAGGTGTTTTCATACAATTCCAGAACTTATTTAAGATATTTTGTATATAACCTAGATATAAGTTTCTAAGTATTATTTACCAAATTCATTTTACACAACCGAATTAAACATTAATAGTAACCTATAAAAGTCAAAACATAACAAGCTTGAAAGAGAGAATTATGCATGTTAAAATCACAAATGATATTCATCAATATGTGATGAGATCAATGAAGTATTTTATCTTTCGTTTCAGATAATAGGTGTGTAGATACAAATATAAAGTCAGATGATTTGATTAACTCATATTATTGATTTGTTTATTAGCTATCTGGTGAGGAAGTTATTACATTCAAGTTACGCTGAGCACAAATTTCTTGTTAGTCTTAAATCAAATTTCTTAGAAGTTACTTTATTTATAAATAATTTTCTGTTGTCTTTAAGTCACAAGATTTATAAGCAAAAGTAAAGAGTGGCTAGCAGTGGAATCTAGGGTGAGCGTTTCGTCCTAGGATGAAACGTGTGTCAAAGTGGATTCCACTGCTAGTCATTATTCATCTTTGTTTACAAATGTATTTATTTTAACACATAGATATTGGTACAAGGAGGCACCAAATACATATGCGCCACACAAATCTCGTTCGATATGTGTGAGGGCTGTGATACTGCTCGGGTGCCCATACCCGAGCAGGTGGTTTTCTTAGGGGGCCACTCCCCGATGGTCTGATCCACAAGGCAGTGGAGCGTCGTCAGGAGATGCAGTCCCATGGAAGCCGGTGACCAGCAACTGCCTCATACGCCATTTGTCCCCACAGGATACTGGAGCCCAAGTGCACCATTGGTTTGGAATCCGGTTAAAGAGCCGGACATTCGCTTTTCGTTTTCGTACACAACACCCCCTTCGTGAGAAGGCAGTGAGTAGGACTTCCCTGGCAGAGGCTATATGCGCGTGGCCATGTGTGAGCATTTCGAGAAGGAGAGCGAATTCTCCCCACTCTCGGCCTTATGAATTAAGGCAATAATGATGTAATCCGCATGCGATGCACATATGCCAACAACAGACTGATCAAACGCAGTCCTAAACAAGAATGGGAAGATACATGTAAACAATACTAAGTAGGATTATTGTAGAAATATCACGAGGAATGAAAGATTTTGTATTAATTAGGTGATCAGATATCTTATGATAAAATTGTTTCCCAAAACTCCCAGGTCCACGCCACCTCTAAACATAAAACTAACTCTGATTTTCATACATAAATCAACCATTGACTAGTTTCTAATCTCACTTCTGACTTTTTCTCTACTAATTGAGACTCAAGTGTAGGAGTACTCAGGGTATTTGTCGAGCGGATATGAAGTCAATATCACGAATCTTATCATACACAAATCAAGCATTGTTCAGTACCAAACGCACAAACATGTAATCGATAAATTAAGGACTTGAATATTTAAGACAACTGTACTACACTTTACTACCATACAAATATTTTAGACATTTCCGAGAATCAGAGCTTTGAAACCGTTAACGAACAACTAACAATTAAGTGTTTGAACTATTAAATACAAGGCTATAATGTAACCGTAACAGTGTACTTTTTAAATATTGGTATAAGGAGGCACCAAATACATATGCGCCACACAAATCTCATTTGATATGTGTGAGGGCTGTGATACTGATACTAAACCGAAACAGGTGGTTTTCTTAGGGGGCCACTCCCCGAGCCTTCGACCTGATCCACAAGGCAGTCGAGCATCGTCAGGAGATGCAGTCCCATGGAAGCCGGTGACCAACAATTGGTTAATACGCCATTCGTCCCCACAGGATACGGAAGCCAGCTCATGTGCACTTTTGGTTTGGAATCAGGGTTTTCCAACTTCCTTAGGTGGACTCTCAATATCCACCAAACTGGTTACAGCGCCGGACATTCACTTTTTGTCTTTTCAATTTTGTAGACAACACCCCCTTCGTGAGAAGGCAGTGAGTAGGACTTCCCTGGCAGTGGTTATGACAGCGTTTTTTAGAGGGAGAGCTGACTCTCATCACTCTTGGCCATACCAGGGTATTTGAGGGCAATGTGCTATATATATTCACGCTCAACTCCCATTTCAAATAACCTTCAGTATAGTAGAAATGAAGAGAATAATATTGAACAATATGTAATCATAAACCAACGCAAAGAGAATAACTAAAAATAGTAAATGTTTGATTATTTATTTATTTATAAAAACACATATATTTTGGTACAAAAGGGTCATTGTAAATACACAAGTCGCTTGATATGTGTATGGGCTATGATACTGTTTAAGTGCCCAAAAGTTAAAGTGTATTTTCAAATGTAAAAAACAAAATTTATCCAATTCAACTACACATTGTGATAAAAACCAATAAGTTTTTTGTTTATAAAAACAGATTCAGATAAAGTGAGTTAAAACAACAACAACAACATAGAAACTTGGATTAAACATTATATCATTAAAAATGATTGAATAATAACTATTTAATAACAGATAAACTAATCAAATTGTCATGTCATTATTATTGATTTAAATAATATAAAATAAATATTAATACCATGAAAACCATTGTACTCATAACAGAGTATACATTTAAATAATACAACATGAATAGTAATCACCATGACAACAATGGAATCAGTGATAAAATAGTTGTAGTAACTAAGATAGGATAAATTATGTATATACACATACATACATGTGTATAAATATAATTAGATAAAATAAGATTGTCTACATAATGAATATCATTTTAATTAAAATCTGGAAATATTAATTCTTCTGGACATGGTGCATTATTGAATAATAAATTAGATGATTGATTTAAACACATTGGAGATTGATATAACCATGGTAATAATTTACAAACAGGATTATTATTATAATAAATATTTTGATAAAAACTATTTGAAAATTGTTGATAATCAATTTTGTTTCCTGGTATAGGACAATCAATGAATTCTAGTGATGGATTTAAACAAATTCGAATTTCAGATAATTTAGCTGGTTTATGCTAAACATAATATGAGCCAAAACACACACAAAAGAGAGAGAGAGAAAGGAATGAAACATGAATACAACGAGTTAAGAAGCTAATGTGAAAAATGAACATGGTCCACACATAATAATCCATTACTGAGTTGTCTACTTGTTGGCAATGTTAGATCTCTAGAATTTAATTTGAAATTGGCTTATTTTTTGTTTTCTCGCCAAAAGCATCCATTTTCTTCATGTCGTATTTCCCATTTGAGAGGACTTAAAATATCATTGATTGGTTGTCTCTTTTAATATGTTATTTTGTACCGTTTCCCAAGGACATTTTTAAGCTGTATATATACGCTTGCGTTGTGTTTGTTGTTGTTCGTGTTTCTGGCTGCTTGTGGAATTGATTTCCCTCTTCCGAACATGGACTTTCTCTCTAGCTAGCGAGGCTAAGACGCGTCAGAATAGCTAGTTTATTAGTCATTGTGTCACAGAGTTTTCGTTTTGTTCTTATATTAGTTGAACTCGTAATCTTTTTAAACATAGCACTACTCAAAGCTGTTAATTATGTAACTCTTTAGCTCAGGTTATATTACTTGACATGAAAACTGTCTACAAAATTTACAAAAGTCATATGCTACACATCCCTACAATCAGACATGAGTACACAACAGATAATCTATCATATTTCCTCCTTCTAAACAAATATTTACTGAGCATTTATTTGCCATTATGAGATGTTACAATTTGGAAACTTTCATATTAGATTCAAGGTTATCTATGATTGACTAAAAACTCATCATATATAATTCGGTTACAGAACTAAAGATTTTAGTTAACAGTTCCTAGGGTACGTTTGTTCTTTTACATCCATTGTTAGTGCGCTTCGACAAGTAACTGATTCTCTTGCTAAATCTTAAGGGCTTAATATAATTTAATCAGAACACTAACAATCTTAGTGACCATGTGATAAGAATTTAGTTATGTGGCACACATCTAAAAATGGAAATTTTGCTACAGGATTATGGTCTATTATGATGACTTAAGGGATTTAAGTAATAGGAATTTCGGAGTAGTCAGACCAAAGCATGGCAACAAGCTGTCAATTTCCTGGCTAGACAATTAGAAGCAATATACAAAGACGTCGATTAAAAAAACTCGAAATCTTAAATCTTGACCCCCTCTGCTTCGAATATTCACTACTGCTGTATAATTTTACCAACTTCTTGGAAATTTCACACACTGACTCTGGATAGACGTAAAGTGTAAGAATTTCAACTGATATTTAACAGAACAAAGTTTGAAACTGGGACTTTCGCTGTAACCTTTTTGTTCATCAGCAACCACATTTAACGCTGTAAAATGTGAATCGTTTTATTTCAATTAATTTCATTCTGATAGTTTCCATAAAATTCAATCCGTGTCCGCCGGAGACAGTTATCCACTTCAAACAATGGATGAAGGATTGAATAAGGTCATGGGCCGATTGAAGTTGGACATAAACACCGTTGGATACCGGTTCAGTGGTCTACGGCTTAAGAGTTCGCTCGCGAGGCCGAAGCTTCTGGGTTCGAGTCCTGTGTGCGGGTTCATGAGTGCGCACTGCTGGGGAACTTCATACTAGGACAAAACAACCATTTAGTGATTCCAGGTTTCCAACGGTATTCTAGCTTAGATCGATATGTAAATTCAACCACTAAAATTACTATAATCTTTACAAATCCCTATTCTGATAATAATTTATTAATTTCTAATGGGTTTTGTAGATATCATGGTAATTTCAATGGTTAGGATCATGAGTCAGTTGAAGTTAGACCACCATGGAAAACCTGGAAGCTGAAGTTAGACATTAACACCGTCGGATGACGGCTCAGTGGTTTAGTGCTCGCGCGCGAAACCAGTAGGTCCTGGGTTCGAGTCCCGCAGGAGCGAGGTCGTGCGTGCCACAATAAGACGAAACGGCCGTCCAGTGCTTTCAGGTTTTCCTGATGGTCCACCTTCAACTTACTCATGACCTTAACCATTGGAATTTATTAATTGGCAATAGAAACCATTGTACACTGTATAGAGCATTCTTACGTGTTGTAAAGAGCAAACTATTAACACATTCACACCGAAGGAACTCTTCAATTGATCAAGCACTATATCACGCTAGAACGAAAAAAGTGAAGAGAAAAAAATCACATATTCAATATCAATAGAAGATTTATATTAAATTAACAGATACTATGGTCAAAAGAAATTATAATTAGCTGAAACAATCATAAGTTAACTAAGTAATCCCATCAAATCTTACTTGGTAATCCTAAGGAATTCAGAAACTATCTTCTGTACATTTGAGTAGTTGTGTACCCTGATGATAATATTAGTTTACGCAAAGTAAAAGCCACGGCAGCTTACGGCAATGTGTTATTTTAATATGATCCCGTAGCTAGAAAGAGACACCTAACAAACGTGAAACTCGGTGTACAATACATTCATGGATAAAACTCAAAATAAAAGTTAATAACCATTTTGCTGAAACCCTTTCTATATTCCTTGAAGAAAGAAAAAGTAAAAGGAACGCTCTTAACCAAAAAGGATTCTATTTGATTGTAGTTTTCTTAGACAGACTGTTTTATTCAACACATACCATTTTCTCATTCAATTATTTTTATTCATTCATTTATTCTTTGATTATATTCCAACTTCATTTGTATATCGCTTCATAACTTTTCTTTTTTATTTGTGTAACACACATTTATCTTAATGCCTTAACGCTGTTAGGAAAGAACGGCATATAACTTAAAGGTATGATGAAATGTGGCGATTTTCAGTAACCTCTTATTATGTGATATTTTGTGATCTTTATTGTGGATAATAAGTCACTGTTTACACTGACTTAAAATGTTTAGAAATGTATCAGATTTTCTAGATAGTTTAAAGAATAGTGGCATTTGGAATTGAAGCTTGAACAATAATTTCTAGTTGTAAACGGTTAAAGTGATCTTTCTGATATGGAATGGGACAAACTTGATAGACTGAACAGTTACTAAATAACAATTCAACTATTATCCATAGCGTGATGGGCATTACTGTTGTCTACAAAACTGAAAAGACGAAAAGTGAATATCCGGCGCTTTAACCGGTTTGGTGGTAGATATTGAGAATCCACCTAGGGAAGTTGGAAAACCCTGATGACAAACATGCAACCTACTTATTAAAAAGAGTCAAAAAGTGAATAAATGAATAAATATATAATGACTACATTTATACTTTTAATAATATATCGATGAATTATAAGGAACATAGAAATTGGCACACACACACACAAATGAAATCGTCGTTCACAATAAAACTTGAATCACCATAACTTGCAATTTGAAAGTTTCATAACTATTTACTTAAACAAACATTTAACATATAAGTACCAAAGAATTTTTGATGTTTATTCTCTATAAGAAATATCTTTCTTTTTTTAATTATAATCATATTTAACTAACTAATTTATTTATTTGCATTATTTATTTTAACACATAGATATTGGTACAAAGAAGTACCAAATACATATGCGCCACACAAATCTCATTTGATATGTGTGAGGGCTGTGATACTGTCCGGGTGCCTAAACCGGAACAGGTGGTTTTCTTAGGGGACCACAACCGGAGCCTTCGACCTGATGGTCCGATCCACAAGGCAGTGGAGCATCGTTAGGAGATGCAGTCTCATGGTAGCCAGTCACCAACATTTGGCTCGTAAGCCACTTGTTCCTTCAGGATCCGCGGGCCAGCCCATGTGTACCATTGGTTTTGAATCAGGGTTTTCCAACTCCCTTAGGTGGACTCTCCATATCCACCAAACCGGTTAAAGCGCCGGACATTCGCTTTTCGTCCTCTCAATTTAATAAACAACACTACAGCCACGAGAAAGCAATGAATAGGACCTTCCTGGTAGAGGCTATATACACGTGGCCATATGTGAACATTTCGAGAGGGAGAGCAGACTGTCCCCACTCTCAAGAGTACCAGGGCATTTGAGAGCAACTAACTAATTAACTAACCTTTAAAGTAACCAAATTATTTGGTTTAATTTTGATTGAATCAAAACGACTGAAAAGGAAAACGAAAACAAAAACAAGAATAAACAAATAACCAAACAGAAGAATCTAATGTGATCTTTATATGAACATTATAATTAACTTGTTATACAAAATTCGAGGTTGTAAACAAATTGAAAAGGGTCAACATCCTAAATGAACACGAGTTAGTCAAAGTTTAGAGAAAGAGAGGGAAACATACACAGCTAATTGTATTAAGAGTAGAGTAGAATGTTCAAAATCAAAATCACCAAAGAATGATGATATAGCGCTTTTTTAGCAATCAAATCAAATCTATACTGTGTTAATCCCAATTATATTTGGATATTGACCTTAGTAAATAAAATAACATGAGTCAGGTACATGGGAATCATGTGAAAAGTTCACAATGTTGAAATAAATTACTTTTAAAAACTTCAATCGCTTAGATTATTTCAAATATAACTACTTGGCGGCCATTTTTTGTCAAACTATTCGTTCTGATCTTGACGAATATACGTATAATTATATACACGTTTTAGAATTTGATTACAGTCGTTCATAAATGTTTAGGATTTATGAAGTATCTTTCAAATGGAAAGTTTGTATATCCATTGAATAATGTCCATATAAATCTGATAAATTTAAATGTCTTGTCTTATTTTATTTAAATACATAAACATCAGCACAAGGAGGCACTAAATATAAATGCACCACACCTCGTCATTTGATTTGTGTAAGGGCTGGGATACTGGATGGATGTTCAAACCGAATCGGATGGTTTTCTTAGGACACTCCCCGAGCTTTTCACATAGAGATCTGATCCACAAACCAGAGGAGCAACGTCAGGAGATGCAGTCCCATGGTAGCCGGTAGTCAATAGATTCATACGCCATTTATTCTTCCAGGATACTGGAGCCCATGTGCATCACTAGTTTAGAATCAAGGTTTTCCGAATCCCCTAGCCGGATCCTTCATATCTACAAACCTTGTTAAAGTGCCAGACATTCGCTTATTGTCCTCTCAATTACGTAAACAACAATACAGTCACGAGAAGGCAATGAGTAAGACGTCGGCGGCAATGGTTGTATATGTATGACTATGTGAGAGCACTTGGAGGACGACTGACTCTTTTCACCCCCAGCCGTTTGGACCCCATGTTTTGTTAAGTATAAATCGGTAACACCAAACAAGACATGTTAGTATTACCGATTTACTCTTGACAAGATTTTTGCTAATTTATAAATTACAATGTAATAATTGTGAAAGAATAACGTGATTTAGATAACCTCTTGAAGTTCAAAGTATGTAAAAATTATCTACTCCCCGAACGCCCTGGTACGGCCGAGAGTAGGGAGAGTCCGCTCTCCCTCTCGAAATACTCTCACACGTCCACGCGTATACAGCCTCTGCCAGGAAAGTCCTACTCATTGCCTTCTCACGAAGGGGGTGTTGTTTACGAAAATGAGAGGACGAAAAGCGAACGTCCGGCGCTTTAACCGGATCACAAACCAATGGTGCACATGGGCTCCAGTATCCTGCGGGAACAAATGGCGTATGAACCAATCGTTGGTCACCGGCTACCATGGGATTGCATCTCCTTACGATGCTCCACTGCCTTGTGGGTTAGACCATTAGGTCAAAGGCTCGGGGTGTGGCCCCCTAAGATAACCACCTGCTTCGGTTTGGGCACCCGGGCAGTATCACAGTCCACACACAAACGATGAACTCTATGACTATGGCAACTAATTTTCTCGCTCTGATAAACAATCGATCGATTCAAATAATTATTACTATTATTGTCATTATTAATACTATTATTATTATTACCATTATTGTCATTATTATTATTATTTTCCACATTGTTCACCCTCTTTTATACTTATACAGCGGCTCTGGCCAAGTACTACAAATTCGATCTCCATCTGTCGCTTCAAAAAGCTTGTTTTACGTGCGCTTATCCGGGGACCCTGTGGCATCTTCGTTTGGTCTTGCTGGCGTTGGTGTCGCACTAAGCGCTAGAGCTGAGGCAGCACTAGTTGATTGGATCCCCATTAACAGTCGGCTATGTGCTGTTAGATTAGAAAGTTCCATCAAAGTGAGAAGAAATCGGCTTGAGAAACGATGTCTTTTCGTCATCTCCGCCTATGCCCCGACAGATTGCAGCCCGGATGCAATCAAGGATGAGTTTTACCACCAGTTATCTGTTCTTCTCCAGAAAGTGCGCTCGACAGATATTGTAGTACTAGCCGGAGACTTGAATGCTCAGGTCGGGCGTCTAGGCACAGAAGAGAGTCGTTTAGGTGGCCGATGGGGACTCGTTGGTCGCAGGTCAGATAAAGGGGACCGTCTACTGCAACTTTGCACAGACCACAACCTGTTTCTGGCTAGCACTAACTTTCGGCACAGTCATCGCCGATGTGCCACCTGGCGTCCTCCCTCTGCATCCCAAGCCTGGACTCAGATTGATCACATCGCGATCAGCTTCCGCTGGCGTGGTTGTGTAAAAGACTGCCGCTCCTTTTGGAGTACCTATCTGGACTCTGACCATGCCTTGGTCTGCGCCAATCTTGCCTTACTTTTCAGTGGATAACGAAGTGACCGCCATCAAAGGATTGATATTAGCAAGCTGGTTGCAACTTCTGTTGCAAATAAGTATCGAACCGAGTTAGCCTCTAGGCTAGCTACCACCCCACCGAAAAGTATAGATGAGCATTGGTTGCAATTGCATGACGCCATGAAAATGGCGGGAACAGTCAGTTGTGGGTTTGCGAAACGTCCAGCTTTTAAGCACTGGGTTTCTTCTGGTTCCTTACAACTCATTGAAGCCCGTCGGTCTACTCCGGGTGACCGTGAGTTTGACCATAAACGAAGGATGTTACGTAAGGAAATTGGGCAAAGCTTGCGTAAGGACCGAGAAGCCTGGTGGTCGGAGCGTGCTAATGAGCTGGAAGCAGCAGCTGCATCTGGTAACTACCGGAAGCTCTTCCAGCTCATCCGAGCCACTGGCAGCAAGAAGTCTGGTGTGAGTGAAACAATCTGCGAGGATGATGGGATGCCAATCACTAACATCCATCGACGTCTTGGACGATGGGCAGAATTTTTCGAAGGGCAGTTCAACTGGCCTGCTGCTCCGGCAACATCGGTCAGACTGTCCTGCCCTCCATGGCCGGTGACGACTGATCCACCAAACGAGGAGGAAGTCCGCAAGGAACTCCAACTCTTGAAGCGTTACAAATCACCTGGCCCAGATGACTTACCTCCGGCTCTTTTTAAAGATGGTGGTGACTTTTTGACTAAGGAATTGACGACGTTGTTTACAAAGGTTTGGGAATTAGAGAGTGTACCAACGTCATGGAATAAGTCGATAGTTGTCCCTATCTTTAAAAAGGGTTCACGTCGTTCCTGCAATAACTATCGGGGGATAAGTCTACTTCCGATTGCGTCCAAGCTATTGGCTTCCGTCATACTTCGTAGGTTGTTCAAAACCCGAGAAAGATTGACTCGCGAGGAGCAGGCTGGGTTTCGTTCTGGTCGAGGTTGTATTGATCATATCTTCACCCTCCGCCAAATGTTAGAGCATCGCCATACTTATCAAAGGCCAACAATCGTAGTGTTTCTTGACATTAGGGCTGCCTTCGATTCGCTGGACAGGACTGTTCTCTGGGATTGTCTATCGAAGAAGGGTGTGCCTGAGAAGTTTATTAACATCCTAAAAGCCCTATATAAAAACACCTCAGGCAGAGTGAGGGCATACAACCACCTCTCTCCATTGTTCCATTCGAGTAGTGGGGTTATGAAGGGTTGCCCAATCTCACCATTCCTCTTCAACTTTGCCATCGATGACATTATGGAAACAGCTCTGATGAATGTAAGTAATGGTGGTGTGGATCTGTTGCCTGGAGAAAGACTTCTCGACCTTGAGTATGCGGACGATATTGTCTTACTGTGCGATAATGCCCAAGGCATGCAATCTGCACTTAATCAGTTGGCAATCAGTGTCCGTAGGTATGGTATCTGCTTTGCACCTTCGAAGTGCAAAGTACTTCTACAAGACTGGCAGGATTCCAATCCTGTACTCACACTGGATGGTGAGCAGATAGACGTAGTCGAGAAGTTCGTGTATCTGGGTAGCTGCATAAGTGCTGGTGGGGGTGTGAGTGATGAGATCAATGCACGTATAGTGAAAGCCAGAGTGGATTATGCCAATCTGGGCCATCTTTGGCGCCTTCGTGATGTCAGTCTGGCTGTAAAAGGTCGGATCTACAACGCGTCGGTGAGAGCAGTTTTGCTCTATGCTTGTAAAACCTGGCCTCTCCGAGTTGAGGACGTTAGACGACTCTCTGTGTTCGATCATCGCTGTCTCCGAAGGACTGCTGACATTCAGTGGCAACACCATGTCAGTAATGCAGAGGTTCGGCATCGTGTGTTTGCGCACAGAGATGATAATTCAATTGGTGTCACCATCTTGAAACACCGACTTCGGTGGCTTGGACATGTTCTACGAATGTCGTCCCAGAGAATTCCACGTCGTGCATTATTTGCCGACTCTGGGACTGGTTGGAAAAAGCGGAGAGGTGGTCAGTGCATGACATGGTGTCGTGGTATGAAAGAAAGCTGCAAAGGACTGGCTTGTGTTGGTCCTTCACGACTCCCTGGTTGGGGTCTGAGAGATGGTGCTACACAGTGGCTAGAGACGTTATCAGATATGGCTCAGAATAGAAGCCAATGGCGATCCTGCTGTAACCTTCTTTTACTTTCTTCATAAAAAGTGGTTGTGTCTCCCTTACTTGAAAGATTTCTTCTGATTGTACCTTTCCGTTCCATCGTTACGACCACACTACCTTACACCAATCTCTTCGTTATCGTTCTCTTTTTCTTTTGTGCTCCTTAGTTTTTTTTGTTTGTTTGTATCTCTCTTCGAATTGTTTTGTGTGGCGCATATATATTGGCGCTCTCCTGTACCAATATTTATGTGTTCAAATAATAATAATAATAATTACTAATGAAACTTCTATAAAATAACGATGCTGAAAGATAGACAACGAAGTTGTAATCCCAGAAAAATAAACGGATATTTCGAAAGAATAAACAACTAACAAAACTGGTATATCTGAGTAATAAACTTTAGTGAAATAGTATCCGACTCCAATTAGATTGCATGATGATTGATTTCTAAATATACATCCTGGTTACCTTCGTATACAATCATCGACTTAACTCGCGTTAGTGAATAACAGAAGTAAATAAGTCGAATACGGGAATGAATTTCGAATAAGTACATTTCATACAATCGTTGATTTGAACAGACAATCAGGGAGACGCAATGAAGGAAGCGAATTGAAATAAAATGACGCACAGTGGAGAAAGAGAGTGAGCCAGCACTATTTAACCAAGTGTGACACGATATTTATAGTCAGAGAAAAATATGTTACAGATATGTGGTGAGAAGGGTAAGGGATTAACAAGCACACTCATATTTGAACAGTCACAAGGTTATAAAGCGACTCAAGAAGAATGAATAAATTGGTCCGTCAGGAAGACAAAATAACCCATGTGGATTTGACACAGCACCAGCCAATACACAAAACTAATTATCACCAATTCTAACTGCATCTCATAATTTTTCTCTCTGTTCAACAATTGAAAACAGAATTTATACTTTGTCCAGAAGATCTTATTCACCAATAAGTAGTAAAAGTTACCCAGAGCACAACTCTCATGTAAAAATATATTCATCGATTAATAAGATCCCGTAATAAAGCATAACAGAATCAATTGGATAATATAATCCTTATAAGTGGAGAAATCTATTTAAAAAGAACTAGCAACGTGAAAAATCGATGTCTACATGCATTAAACTACGATTTTAAAACAAGACTATTTACTATCCTTTTCTTATCTCCTACTTTAACTAGAGTGAAAAGTCCAGTTGTTATATAGATGCTTGTTAACCAAGACCCAATAGAATTTAAAATATACTTAAAATGACTAATTATAATGAGGCGATTACAATCATTATGACTTAGTAACGAAGATATCATCAGTGAACACAAATCGTCTACGACAACTGCATTGAAAGTTCATGAACAGAATTCCTACTGAGTAAATTAATGTAAAACAAAAACAATAAACAATTCATCTTAAATCAATACTGATTTTCTTCCTTCTATAGTGTTGTATTTGATCATCACATATATACTGGTCGGTGACCTATGCTCCATTGAGAGTAACAGACGTACTTACCTACGCCTGTTACTCTTCTTGAAGAAGCATAGTCCGCTGTCAACAGCATTCTCCATCCAACCCTGTTCTAGGAAGTTCTTTCCAGTTGCTATTCATCCTTTTCATATCTGCTTCTATCTGCCAACATAATGTGTTCCTTGGCCTTCCTCTTTTCCGCTTTTCATCAGGATTCCATGTTAAGGGCTTGCATGGTCATGCAGTTTGATGATTTCTGTAATGCATGTCCTATCCATTTCGAACGTTTTTTTCTTCTTCAGCTGGAAGCTGATTTGTTCTCTCCCACAGAATGCTGTTACTGATGGTATCCGACCAATGGATGTTGAGTGTCTTGTGTAGACAGCTATTTATAAATACTTGTACCCTCTTGATGATGATTGTAGTAGTTCTACAAGTTCCAGCTCCATACAGTAGAACTACATTGACGTTCGTATTGAAGATTCTCACTTTGATAATGGTTGAAAGTTGTTTTGAGTTCCATATGTTCTTTAATTGTAGAAATGCGGCCCTTGCTTTGCCAACCCTCGCCTTTACATCTGCATCTGATCCTCAACAGGAATTTCAATTCAAAAAATCAACTTAACATATAAGATATTTTGAAAAACCATTAACCTTAATGTGAGTGACAGTTAAACATTTATGAAACATATGAATTGTCCCTTAAAAAGCTTTTAATCATCTTACCTAATAAAGATATAAACACGTTAGATTATTTTTATCATATGAAGACAACATACAATACATGGTATTTACCTCATACAATTCATCATAACATAATTTATCTTGTCGAATGATAGTGAATGTTTCATACACCTTTTTGTAAATGTTCCTTATCTGATCAACCATATCACACTATCATTCATCATTAACAGCGATGACATTTACAAGTAGATATAATCAATCTTCATAGGCGATAAACAAGAATGTTCATGTCCAAATCAATGATTCTATATGATTTGACACAGTCAGTTAGTCAGTCAATCATAAATAAAGTAGAACCTGGGAGGAAATTAACAAGATGAATATTAAAGCACTGGTAAGAATAGTAGTAGTGTGGTAGACACTACTCACAAGATTTCTTGTAAGTAGTATGTAGCGAAGCGTGAAGTCGAAGCTGTCACAGTCGTCAAACGGAGGGAAGAGTTTCAGTACATTTAAAGCATAGTATACACAAAACACTTGAAGATCAGATAAGAAAACAGCTTGCATTGCGGAACACATTTCAACCAAAAATCATTATGCTAAATGCTCTTAGCAGACATTCCGATAACATATAATAAGTGACGAGAATAGTATTAAGGGTAACAGAAAACTTTATGTTATATCCCGATGAGAATAATGAATGGTAACTGTTGGAATTTATTTCCAGACTAATACTATACATCTATTTTTATTGTAATTGAACTATTCATATTCGTGTTCCTCTTATTAGAAGCTTTATTTTGACCCATAAACTATTGTTAAACGATCTACCGTTCTTGAATTATGCCAAGTCTACTATTTATAGTCTTCCACATTCATAGCCACTTTTGGCTAAATCTTATATATATATATATATATATATATATATATATATATATATATATATATATATATATATATATATATATATATATATATATATATATAACTTTCTATTCTATGGTGTGATGTAGTCTGTTTGGTTTGTATATAAACCCAGTATGCTTGAAATATACGATGTCACGGAGTCTTGGACTAGTTATTATTTCAACACCTAGATAATGGTACAAAGATGCACCAAATACATATGCGCCACACAAATCTCATTCGATATGTGTGAGGGCTGTGATACTGCCCGGGTGCCCAAACCGAAGCAGGCGGTTATCTTAGGGGGCCACACCCCGAGCCTTCGACCTGAAGGTCTGATCCACAAGGCAGTGGAGAATCGTAAGGAGATGCAGTCCCATGGAAGCCGGTGACCAACAATTGGTTCATTCGCCATTTGTTCCCGCAGGATACTGGAGCCCATGTGCACCATTGATTTGGAATCCGGTTAAAGCGCCGGACATTCGCTTTTCGTCCTCTCATTTTCGTAGACAACACCCCCTTCGTGAGAAGGCAGTGACTAGGCAGAGGCTATATACGCGTGGACGTGTGAGAGTATTTCGAGAGGGAGAGCGGACTCTCCCCACTCTCGGCCGTACCAGGGCATTTGGGGGCTAGTGTTGTACTAGTGTTCTGGAGTCAACAGGCAGGACGCTTATGTCTTTTCCCAACTTTGAAACAGATGAATTATTCTAATCTCTCTATCTGTCCTATCAGCCGTGTGTTTGCTCTAACCAGCTACTCGCTTGAAACCTTGATAATCCATGCTAGTGAGCATCTGTCCGTATACTTGTATCTTCTTCACCTATTACTTATGAGGTTGGAGTGTCGATCTTCTCCATCTCTCATCTTCACATCTGCCTGAGTAAACGAGTATTTGAAACAAATTCGTCCAAGTTAATTTGTATTTGGCTTTTATAACCTTCATCGCCCAAACTAGATTAGCTTAAGTAGAATAGATGAGATCTAGTGAAGAATTCATATTCATGGATCATTTATCAACCGTTCGTTAGCGAGCCATAAAGCGGACCTCGACCAGTAGTCTCCTCATCCTTCTCATCATCTAGTCTTATACATTAACAAACAAAATAATGATTGTACACCAAACATTGATATACAAAAAGCAACCAATAATATTGACGTAAGATATTACCTCATTAAATTCACTTTCATTTTTATCCCAAGTGATATATTGAAATAATCCAATTCATTTAATATAAATGAATCATCACTTGCTGCACAAACACCATGTTTACTCCATTCATGTTCCCTGAAGTAAAAAAGACCATAGAGGGTATTTATCAAGATTGTAGTAATTTAATAATTGAATTCATAAGTCAAATTGAAGCTAGACAACACTATAGAAAAACCGGAAGTACTGGATGGTAGTATCATTCTAGTATGGAACTAGGATGATCAATGAACAAACAAACAAATTAAATGAATAACTGTAAATCAAAATATTTTATCATTCTAAACCCGATTTTAAAACCTGTTGATTTGATTGTTTCATTATTTAAACAGTTCAGTCAATAAGATGACCCTGTTCCGTCCGAGTGAATGAATCCTGAAGAGAAAAAACATTTACTAAACTCAATGGTAATTTCACTGGTATAGATGGAGAATATTTGTAGCTCATGTGAATGATTTAGGTGGAGTTTTATTCTCTGAACTTGATGGTTTGATTGCGGAACATTCATTGTTCTTCTGAACAATATCAGCAGTACAAACTCCAGTTTGTGTAGAACGAGTAAATGTTCTATTATTAATCATTGTATATATAATTTTGTACTTATAAACGTAATAACGACAATCTAAGTACTTACAAATTATGTATTTAATGGAAACATCTATAAACTAACAGAACAATTACAATTGCTTTGTCAATAAGTGTTCTATAAGACACAATTTATAATACAGTAGTCCAGATGTAAACCCATGTGATGATATAATAAAAGTACGAAGTTACTTAAATTCACTAACTTACAATGAAATGAATTCAGTATATTAGGTATTAATCGTATAAACTAGTAAGTGAGATATCTTAAAGAAGTTATTCACATTCCAAGCTATTTCAACAACATACTTCAATGGGTCCCTAGAACCCCAAATGCCCTGGTGCAGGCCCTGACATATTTACTCCTGAGATTTTCAAGGATGGTGGTCCAGTATTAGCAATTAAATGAACCGAGGTCTAAGGTAGAATTAGGGAACTGGACGTAATCCCATCTAACTGGTCTCAATCACTGATTGTGCCAGTCTATCAGAAAGGACAAAAGTCCTCTTGTGACAATCATAGAGGAATCAGTTTGACTAATATAGTGTTTAAAATATTAGCTTCAATAATACTTCGATGCCTAACTAAAGCATGTGAAGAACAGACTAGAGAAAACCAGACCGGTTTTCGACCTGGACGTGGTTGTATAGACCAGATATTCACACTACGTCAGGTTCTAGAACAGAGACACACGTTCAGACGCCCCACAATGGTAGTATTTATCGACCTTACGGCGGCATTCGACTCTGTTGATCATGAGGTTCTATAACAGTGTTTGTCACTGAAAGGAGTACCAAAGAAGTACATTAACCTCATAAAGGCTCTCTACTCGAACACAACTGGAAGAGTGAGAGCTTATGGCGAACTGTCATCAGAATTGATTACCTCAAGTGGTGGTCGTCAGGACTGTCCACTCTCTCCATTCTTGTTTATCTTTGTCATTGACGTACTTTTAGAGGTAGCACTTTCCTCATCTAAATTTCCAGGAGTTGAACTTCTACCGGGAGGTTCACTTGTTGACTTAGAATATGCTGATGACATAGTTTTATTTGGTGAAGACGCTGACAAAATGCAGAGTCTTCTGACCACTCTAAGCAACAATGCAAGCATGTTCGGGATGCGATTCTCTACCTCGAAATGCAACATGTTGCTTCAGGATTGGGTTACATCGACACCCGAACTAGTGATAGGGAGTGAAGTAATTGAGAGTCTCGGCCGCTTCACTTATCTATGAAGTCTCATCAGCCATTGTGGTCTGGTGTGTGACGAAATCTCAGCACGGATACAGAAGGCTCGACTAGCTTTTACCAACGGGCGTCATTTATGGCGTAGGCGACATATCCGTGTATCAACCAAAGGACGGGTTTACTGCGCTGCAGTTCGTTCCGTCCTACTTCATGGCAGTGAAACATGGCCGGTAAGAGTAGAGGATATACGTAAATTACTAGTGTTTGATCATAGGTGTCTTCGAAACATTGCTCGTATATCCTGGGACCATCGAGTAAGTAACGCAGCTGTTAGGAAACGGGTACTAGGTAAGGATGGCAAATCAATTGATGAAGTAGTGAAACTTCATCAGTTGAGATGGCTGGGACACGTGTTACTTATGCCCAACGACCGACTGCCTCGACGTGCGATGTTCAGTGGTATAGGAGCAGGTTGGAATAAAGCTAGGGGCGGCCAGACCAAAACATGCCACAAGTCCATGAATTCACTGACAAGTGGTCTGAGTCATGTCGGTAGGTGTAGACTACCTGGTTGGGGACCGCGAGATGATAGCAACCGATGGTTAGAGACCCTGGATGACATGGCTCAAAATCGTTTGCAATGGCGCAGGTGCATGCACTCTTTGTGTACTCCCAAATTCTAATCTTCTGAATTCTTCATGTCCCTTTTTTCCTCTTTCCAAATTTATTTCATTGAATTATACTCTTTAAATAACATCTCCAAACCCCAAACTTCCCGATCACTGCTTACACTCTTGCTACCTCTACCACTACAGGATTTCGATCGACTACTGCATCTCTGTGTTAAGGTGGTGTGGCAATTCGGACTGATGTACGTAAGTACGAAGTTCTACGTTGTTACTGACTAACTGACAAATGCCCTGGTACGGTCAATGGTGAAAAGAGTCAACTCCCCCTCTCGAAATGCTCTCACATGATCGCCCTGATACAGCCATCGCCAGGGAAGTCCTACTCACTGCCTTCTAGTGACGGGGGTGTTGTTTACAAAATCGACAACACGAAAAGAGAATGTCTGGCGCTTTAACCGGGATGATGGACACAGAGAGTCCACCGAGGAGAGTTGAAAAATCATCATCCCAAACCACCTGCTACCATGAGACTGCATTTCTTTACGTTGCTCCACTGCCTCGCAGACCAAACCTTTAGGTCGAAGGCTACTGGTGTGACCCCCTAAGAAAACCACCTGTTTTGGTTTCGGCACCCGGATAGTATCAGCCCATACACAAATCAAGTGACCCGTGTGGTGTATATTTATTCGGTGCCTCTTTATACTAACATTTATCTGTTCAAATAAATAAAAGCGAGATATTTTAAGCAAGTTATCCATATTCTAAGCTATTTAAATGACATTCATTAATGGATCTTGTTGATAATATTAGCTCAGTTTTTTAAACAGAGTAGCTTATTCAAAGTTTCAAATCAATCAATTTTATCACTGTTCTATGAAAGCTATAAACGAACTATTAGAACAGTTATAAACAAAGATGGATGGTGGCTAGCAGATGATATTCTGAACCTCAGAATTTGGGGGAAGACAAACAATGGATGCACCTGCACCAATGCAAACTATTTTGGGCCATTTCATTCAAAGTCTATCGTCATTGGTTATTATAATTACACAGACCTCAACGAAGTAGTCTGTACGTAATAACATGGTTAAGTTCAATTGTCACTAACTTCATGGTCTGTTACCATATTTTGATTTGGCCGCCCCTAACGTCCTTCCAGCTTACTCCTGCACCATAAAACATCGCTCGTCGAGGTAGGCAGTAGTTGGACATATGTAACACGTCCCACCCACATCAGTGGATGAAGATTTACAACCTCACCAATCGATTTTCTATCTCTACCTAATACTCTATTCATAATCCAGGTATTACTTGCCTGATGATCCCAAAATACACGAGCAATGCCTCGAAGACACCTATGATCCAATACTAGTAACCTACGAATATTCTGCATTCCTAACGACCATGTTTCACACAAATAAAGTAGGACGGAGCGAACTGCTGCGCAGTAAACTCATCCTTTGGTTAACAGACAGATACATCATTTACACTACAAGTGAGGCAAACTGGCAGAAGCTATTCGAGACCTACTGAATCCGTGCCGTTGTATGAACTGAAACAAGAGAATTTATATTTGTCTAAGTTTACACCGATTACAAATAATCTGAATTCAGTAATCAATGTCAAGTGAATACTGTTTACCATAAAACATCAACTGTTGCCATTATTTTACATTCTAATTAAATTATCATTGACACTAATTAAGTAGGGGAAATTGTAAGGCTAATTTACTTCGCTTTTGAGAAGTACTTACAAAACAATCTAGATATTTTTTACCTTCACAATCTATAATTAAGAATTTAGTTACCGAATTACATTGAGTTAACAACTTATAAGAACTATAGTGTCACGTTACGACTACTGCTAAACTAATCTCCTATTAAAGCATCTTGATAAGTACGCTTCCACAGTGTTGGCAAAAGGGAATCGATAGTTGGCACTGCATTATAAAGAAAATTGATGCTCCCTGTGAGACCCAAGCCCGTGTCACCTAGCTTCACAGTTCAAGATGTTACCATTGAGCTGTTTTATCAAAAGTGCCTGAAGAAAGACAAAGTTCACGAATTACATCATTCATATTGTCGCATGTAGTGGACATTCACCAACAGGTTCTTCATTAAGTATCGTCTGTAAGACATAGTCATACATCGCTTCACATTGAAGAAGAGTTAGTCATAATACATTACTTAATTTGAGTTTTGTGGACAAAACCATCGAATTGAACGTAATCTCCCGTTATATTATCCAATCTTGTAAGAATGTCTTGTTTTTCGTGTTCAACAAGTCATCACCTGATAATCCGCAACCAAAGAATAAATGTGTCACTTAAAATCAGTTGGATTGCTAAACTCTCACTTGTACCCAGAGTTAAATCTGTATTTTATACAAGTGTTTGTGTCGTAGCAACAGTAGTTGGTCATGAACTTTACAAGCTGGAGACATTGGTTGTCCTCCAATTGGTAATAAAACACTCCCAGGGCTTCTGTTTTAATCGTAATAAGCAAGAAAAATATTTTTCTATCCCTCTCGTTTAATGTGACATAGTGAACTGAGGGAACAACTATATATTATACCTACGAAAGCAAAATGGTTCACACATTCATGATCGAAAACATCTACTTTATGCTGCTACCATAAACTTGATTTAGAATTGTCTTTAGAATACAAAATCTGGGTAGTCAGATTGGAAAAGCCCGTCTAAGTTAACTAATCATTCAATCTATCTTAGATAGGTCATTGTTTACCATTATTCTACTTTACGTACCGAATACAATGTTTATGAGGTCCAAGTGAACTTCTGCGTGACGTTATCATAAAAGACATGTCTCCTCCAATTTCATGCAATTGGTTCCCTTTATGAATTTAAATAGAGCATGAACAAATACTGATGCAGAATAATATGAATTCATATTATTTCGTGGTTTCTCGTCAGCTGCTTACAAACCAAAAAATGTGATAGAATTTCAACATTGAGATAGTGTGAAACGATTGACATAAATGAGTGTAACTGAATTACAATAATAACTATATATATATATATATATATATATATATATATATATATATATATATATATATATATATATATATATATATATATATATATATATATATATATACCTCGAAATATTATGAATTCATACTATTCTGCATCAATATTTGTTCCTCCTCCAATTTATTTGAGTAGTAGGATTATAATATCTAAGATAATCAAACTACATTATGAACCTAATATTTCTATGATCACTAAAAGTTTTTAATAGGATCAGTACATATTTAAACAAAATAGAATTTTACCAGAAATCTTCAGGATTGTCAAAGTCATTCAGATTAGCCCATCGTTTCTGTAATTCACCATAAATCGGCTACAAAGTAGAGACAATATGACAAAACATGGATAAATTTAATGTACAAACTGAAGTATTTAAATCAGTCTAGTTTCTCGACTTTTATACGTCTTACACTTCTGTCACTTCATTAAACTATGTAATCTTTCATAAGCTACATTATATAAATGAAGGATAAATAGTGTATACACGAACAGTAATGACATTAATACATAAGTGAGTTTGTCAGTGAAAATATTTGGTGTAACAGAGACTTAGTAGTTAAGGCTTCAGGGTATCAACCAGTTGATCTTTCCATTGTTATTTAGGACTGCGATTGGTCAGTCTCATGTTGGCATATGTGCATCGTGTGCGGGTTGCCTCGATATAGCCTTAAGTCACAAGCTTTTTAAAGCAAAGATCGATAGTATCTAGCAGTGGAATCCAGGATGCACGTTTCTTCCTCTTTGAGACTCGTCAGTTGGATGTACCTGCATCACAGAGTTGATGTCCACTCCGGGACTCGAGCTTTATCCTGTTACGAGTTTTTTAGTCGTTGTTATTCGGTAATAACAGCCGGTAGCGTCATTTCATTACCACTTTCCATACGAGAAAACAAAAGCATGAGAAAGTTGACATCGACAGGAGTTCAATCCAAAATAAACAATATACATTTAAACTGGTCACTGGGCAGTACATTTAATTCAAATAGTTCTGTTTGTAAATGTACTCTACCAGCACAAGTAGTGTTTATTTCGTCAAATGTAGACAATCATCCAGGATACTAAATAATGACTTTTTTTTACAAAACATTTTATTCAAATTTTTGACCGTTTCGTCGAAACTAAACTAGGCACAATATTATTTTTTGTGCTTTTGATGTTTATTGACACCAAGTTTCTGTAATAGTAATCAGATTTCCTTTAAGTTGTCTATAGTATCAAGTTTTATTTGGAGAATATCTTCTATTCTGATAAACCACTCATCAAAGACACGACCACTTTTTATGATGGGTGGTGTTCGAAATCGGATAGTGATACAAAACACGCTACGCATTAATCCCACAAACTGACTACTTGAGCGAGAATACAAGAGTGGAAGAAGTTCAATAAGCTACCGAAAAATATGCATAAATATTGACTTTTATATATACATCACTACTCCTCAGAAAATGAACCCATTATTTAACCAATGACATGCATTTACCCTTCAGACAATTTCTGACTTATCGAGTAAACTTCTTGTTTAGCCACTTCTGAACGGCTTGCTGTATTATCTTTTCTCCTAAAAAATAAGTCCAGCTCCTTGAGCGTTGAGGGAAACGATGTTCAATTCTCCTAACCTTGGCTTGATAATCTGGTTTTCTTCCATGTGAATACTTGTCATCAAGTGAAATCAGAGTCCTACTTCCTAACATTGACTTTGCTGGCGATACGCCCTTATGTGTAGATGAGTGCAGGATTATTCCGGGTGGTTTACTGCATCATGCCCTCCCCTTGTGATCATTTCCAAAATTACTAGAAAACGTCTGCTTTCATTCGCGCATCATATGGGGATGGGAAGATACTTTATTGACTCATTATATCACCACTATCGACATCAAAAACCGATTCTGCATAAACACACATGAGAAATCCGTCCGGATGAAACGGTTAACATTTAAAATAAAATGTTCGGTAAACAAACATTATTACTTCTAATCCAAATATATTGGTACAGTGGTGTGTGGGACTTCTTAAAGACTTTCCACTTCAAAAATCATAGATGCACCATATGCAATATAGTCGGCCATAAAGGATCAATCTGCCGAACCATAGAAAGTTTGACATGAATGTCAACAAAGCCTTTTCACAAACATCAGAACAAGTATACAAAAAGCATATATGTTACATAACTGAAGTATAGTTGATAAAAGTAGGAATAAGGGACTATTGGTTAACGGTCACAAGACAATCATAGTATTGTGGAAAAAGGATTTCTGAGTAAAAGAACAAGAAAAATTCTGATTAAACAATTACCTAATAATCTAAAAACATAAACATTGGTACAAGAACGCAACAAATGAATATACGCCACATAAATCATTCGATTTGCGTGACGGCTGAGATACTGCACGGGTGCCTAAACCGAAGGTAAATGTTTTACGGGGCCACACCCGGAGATTTCGACCTGAAGGTCGAATCCACAAGGCAGTGGAACAACGTAAGGAGATGCAGTCCCATGATCGCCGGTCACCAATTGGTTCATACGCCATTTGTTCCTTCAGGATACCGGAAAGCATGTACACCATTCGTTTTGCATCAGGGTTTTCTGACTTCTCTAGGTGGACAATCAATATCCACTAACCCGGTCAAAGCATCGGACATTCGCTCTTCGTCTTAGGTAGAATTTGGGAACTGGACGTAATCCCATCTAACTGGTCTCAATCACTGATTGTGCCAGTCTATCAGAAAGGACAAAAGTCCTCTTGTGACAATTAGAGAGGAACCAGTTTGACTAATATAGTGTTTAAAATATTAGCTTCAATAATACATGTGAAGAACAGACTAGAGAAAACCAGACCGGTTTTCGACCTGGACGTGGTTGTATAGACCAGATATTCACACTACGTCAGGTTCTAGAACAGAGACACACGTTCAGACGCCCCACAATGGTAGTATTTATCGACCTTACGGCGGCATTCGACTCTGTTGATCATGAGGTTCTATAACAGTGTTTGTCACTGAAAGGAGTACCAAAGAAGTACATTAACCTCATAAAGGCTCTCTACTCGAACACAACTGGAAGAGTGAGAGCTTATGGCGAACTGTCATCAGAATTGATTACCTCAAGTGGTGGTCGTCAGGACTGTCCACTCTCTCCATTCTTGTTTATCTTTGTCATTGACGTACTTTTAGAGGTAGCACTTTCCTCATCTAAATTTCCAGGAGTTGAACTTCTACCGGGAGGTTCACTTGTTGACTTAGAATATGCTGATGACATAGTTTTATTTGGTGAAGACGCTGACAAAATGCAGAGTCTTCTGACCACTCTAAGCAACAATGCAAGCATGTTCGGGATGCGATTCTCTACCTCGAAATGCAACATGTTGCTTCAGGATTGGGTTGCATCAACACCCAAACTAATGATAGGGAGTGAAGTAATCGAGCGTGTCGATCGCATCACTTATCTATGAAGTCTCATCAGCCATTGTGGTCTGGTGTGTGACGAAATCTCAGCACGGATACAGAAGGCTCGACTAGCTTTTACCAACGGGCGTCATTTATGGCGTAGGCGACATATCCGTGTATCAACCAAAGGACGGGTTTACTGCGCTGCAGTTCGTTCCGTCCTACTTTATGGCAGTGAAACATGGCCGGTAAGAGTAGAGGATATTCGTAGATTACTAGTGTTTGATCATAGGTGTCTTCGAAACATTGCTCGTATATCCTGGGACCATCGAGTAAGTAACGCAGCTGTTAGGAAACGGGTACTAGGTAAGGATGGCAAATCAATTGATGAAGTAGTGAAACTTCATCAGTTGAGATGGCTGGGACACGTGTTACGTATGCCCAACGACCGACTGCCTCGACGTGCGATGTTCAGTGGTATAGGAGCAGGTTGGAAGAAAGCTTGGGGCGGCCAGACCAAAACATGGCACAAGTCCATGAATTCACTGACAAGTGGTCTGAGTCATGTCGGTAGGTGTAGACTACCTGGTTGGGGACCGCGAGATGATAGCAACCGATGGTTAGAGACCCTGAATGACATGGCTCAAAATCGTTTGCAATGGCGCAGGTGCATACACTCTTTGTGTTCTCCCAAATTTTGATCTCCTTATTCCTCCTTGTCTCTTTTTTTTCTCTTCCCAAATTTACTTCACTGTATTATACTCTTTAAGTAACATCTCCAAACACTAATCTTCCTGATTACTGCTTATACTCTTATTACCTCTACCACTACGGGATTTGAATCGACCACTGCATCTCTGTGTTAATGTGGTATGGCAACTCGAACTGACGTATGTACGTATGAAGTTCTACGTTGTTACCGCCACGAGAAGACAGTAGGACTTCTCCGGCAGTGGTTGTATGCACCCGGTCATGTGAGGGAACTTTGAGAGGGAGAGATAACTGTCATCATTCTCAGCCGTACCAGTTCATTTGGGGGCTAAAATGTTGAACCAGACGTGATTAAATGATACGATAAATGTAAAATCTACAGCTTCACCAGACAGCATATAAAATTAATTGATTTTATTGATTTTATAAATTTACCTTGATTTTTTCGACTTCGAAAGGTGTTTTGTTTGAACAGTTTGTCGGAATACCATATGGCCATATACTTGGCCTACATTCACAACCAAAATACATGGTAAGCAAAATGTGATTAAATTAACAAAGAGAGTTTATCTAACAACACCACTTATATTGAACAAAAACATATTTAAAAATAATGCAGTCATCACTTAATTTATCACGAAACTATGGACGGTTTTTAAAAAAAAAGTATTACAAAGTCTTCATCTTTCCATTTAATAACCCAGTAAGCAATTATGCTAAGCAATTTGTTGGATGATGTAAGGACTACATCTTAGAAACATACATACATGCCACTATTCGTGTCAGAGCTTGTAGTGTAATGCCAATTTAATTGGACAAAACATAAGATGGTCATCAGAGCTAACAACGCTGTCACATTTTAAAGGTTTATCAATAACTCGAAGACTATCATATCGACTCACAGTATCCACATGACAGTTTGGTAAAAATGCTGATAGAAACTCATTCGTCTAACTGCGTTTGAACAGTTATGTAGTAATGATAATCACAAGTAAAGTAGAACCTGGTATATACGTGGATCACTACAAGTTACCATATAAAATCAAAACAAAACGGTCAAATTATCAAGACAAATAACTCCCAGAGAATTCAAAAGTATAACTAGCACCAGTATGGCAATAGTATATTCATAATCACAAAAATATAATAGCAACCAGAGTAAATGACCTTATGTAACCAATACGCAACAAGGACGGGGAAGATTGATACTCTACGCCCTTAAGATTGGTCCAATATTAAATACCGAACGACAAGGAAGAACGCAAGACCGATATTTACCAGTTCAAGATCTTTGTTATATTTTAGACAAAACCAAACCATTCAGCAGACCAATTAAGTAACAGTACTAACAAGGAAGAACAATATTAATGATGGGAAAAACAGGGTACTGGGTAAACAAGTAAGTGGTTCTAGTTTATAAATGTGAAATGATATATCATCAATTTGTGATTAGATGAAATACTACAAAGTTTCTCGCTCACATAGCGTGCGAAGCCGAATTCTAAGACGACTGACTAGGTTTCTCCAGCAGAAACAATGTTTAGAAAGAAAATTAAAAGACTTCCAAAAAATTTGAAGCCACTCTCGAGGTTATAACCCATCTGAAGAAAATCAACTAGAATCAAAATGGACCCTAATGACTGGTTTGTCGACCATGTTTGTTTTAAAAAAGGAAGATGTTGTAAGAGACGATTTGACCTTGAGTGCTGTTAGAGGTATAAGGGCGGTTATCACTTCCCAGTTGCCCACATCGTGGAAGAGTTGTTCTGGAGGTACCTGAAAAGGAAATTGGATTAGAGGTGGTCTTAGTGACCCAGGAGCGTGACCGCAGTGCCCAAGCGACAATTACTTGAGGTCGGTCACACACGACCTCTTTATGGGTAATTTTTGTGTTAGCTCCGTACTTTTTGGGACCTTAACGCCGGAGACGGATATCCGTGGGATAAGGCGAGGTGTGCATTTTTAGGGCCGACCTTTTCTAACCCCACCCTCTTTGTGGGAAGGCAGCGTCGCTCTCATGACGGCTGTCTGAAGGAAACACCTTACTGCTGTCACACCTCTGTACAGTCAGCAGTACGAATTCGCCTTCGGACCTTGGGTTTGTTGCTTTTATTCTTACCGCTTATCAACCGACCTGTCTGACATGGTAGGACCTTGAGGAACGGTTGTTCCAACCAGTATAGCTCGGTTGCTTCATCACGATAGGCAAGCCCGACCACCACGTCAAGGTAGCTACAACGGTCGGGAGACGATTTAACAATATGAGGTGAAAATCGATAGAGGTTATCTGATCACTTTATATATACATATATATAGTTTGTTAAGTATCTTGGTTTTGTTATTTTTGTATTATCCTAGTCCCACGCTTTTATTTGAACTATAAATTGTTGCTATATCATTTCACACTTATAAACTAGAACCACTTACTTGTTTACCCAGTACCCTGTTTTTCCCATGATTAATATTGTTGTTCCATGTTAATACTGTTACTTATTTGGTCTGCCGAGTGGTTTGGTCTTGACAAGGAATTAAATGTGCAGAAAGAAGCTACCCGTAACTTACCATAGTCCATGAATATTGAAATCGTCGAATTGGTAAGGAAGTTTACACTGGACAAAAAGAAACAAATTGAAATAAATGACACAATAAAAGAAAAATTGTAAAATGATCAAAACGATTAAATACTAAATATTAACATCATCATTAATCCAAGAACTATGAGAGTGAACAATCTTTTTAATTCGATTGATAGTATAAATAAATAAGTACATCTTAAATCATTCTAATCGATTTTTAACATTATCAGAAGGCCATTAACGATTTAGCACCTGGTATATACATCCACTGATCTATGATGGAACAATCCATATCAACACAATGAGTAAATTAAAAAGACAGAAATATAAAGGATTCAAAATAATGACAACAATAATTGACAAACAAACACAAGAATGATCGGAACGGTACAATAAATAAAGTGGTTTATTCAAAGGACAGTTGATCTCATGGCACTAAATACAATTTAACATTGATAGCCGCAAGAAATAAATCATTGATGCAGTAGCAAAATGAACTTGAGAGTAAATTTAATTTTCGAAAATGTTACAAAATACTTTGCCAATCAATATTGAGAAAAAAGTCATGATAATGGTCATTTAACAATCAAAACAACATTCATTAACACATAAAAGACCAATACTAGCTTACCGTATGAGTAGAACAATAAGTAGGTGGCCATTCTTGACTAAACACGAAATAATCCCATTTACGTTCTCCATTAACATGTTCGAAGAACACAGAATTCAGAACGAAAAATAACAACAAGTGCAACCTACAATATGAAGTCGTTTAATAGTAGATATTTATACCCTTTCAAATCATATTGAATCTAGCATACAATGATTATCATCTATACACATCTTACTTCCTTTCGATCTGCGTATGACTAAGTGAAACGATCAAAAGTTCTTGCTGTAGTTGAATATCAATACATAAAATTGTTGCTTAATCAATCAGAGATACACGGTGAGACTGCACAATAAACGTAAAGAAACGTTGTATATGAAAGGTGACTGATATAAACACACTGCATCAATTGATTTGGTTAAGCTTGAGGTGTTACACATTTTTTAGTCATTTTAAAGTAAATAATAGGATGAAAACGGAATTATACGGAGTTATATGGATTCAAGCTTGAATAGCATTTTCCATCAAAGTGAAAAAGACGTAGATGATAGCTAAACAAAAATAACAGTTGTGTGTACCTACTGGTAAAGATGTTCAAAAAGTTTGGTTAAATCGTATATTTCACTGAAATCAAATTATATATCTAATCACTGTTCAATACCTAAAATAATGTTGACCCATGCAACACTAAAATGGACGGCCATTAGAGATTCGGAAAATAACTTAATCAGGAGCGATATATTGAGAGTGGAGTATTACTACCTGAATTCAGTGCGCGGTATGATTGAAAATAATTCATGAATCGTATTTCCAGGTTCAGCTTACGTTGCATTGCGACTGAATACGGTTATTTCGAATTATGGGCGATTGGGTTTCAATACGAAACAGAATATATGCGTACTAGATATACTGGACGACTAATACAAAACACACGTTAGCATTCCACACGCAAATAAAAAAGAGATTTGTAAGAAAGTTGTATCTTGAAGACGCCAGAATTCCTTACAAGACTTATTCGTCCATCACGCTATGGATAATCATCGAATTGTAATTTAGTAACCGTTCACTCTATCAAGTTTGTCCCATTCCATATCAGAAAGATCACCTTAACCGTTTACAACTAGGAATTATTGTTCAAACTTCAATTACAAATGCCACTATTGTTTAAGCTTTCTAGAAAATCTGATACATTTCTAAACATTTTAAGTCAGTGTAAACAGTGACTTATTATCCACAATAAGGATAACAAAATATCACATAATAAGAGGTTACTGAGAACCGCCACATTTCATCATACCTTTAAGTTATATGCCGTTTTTTCCTAACGGCGTCAAATATTATTCACAGCAATCGGATTTAACTCATAACTCAGGTTTGACAACCAGGATCATTTTAAAACATAATAAATAGACTGGCTAAACAAGTATGGCTAATTCGACATCAATCAAATGAAAAAACACCATTTAAAACAGCAGCAGGCTTTTCGCAGTCATCTTGCCATCATTAAGTCGCTAGTGCTAACTAAATAGTAACTGGAAATCTGTAGAATAATCTCTGAAGCGGCTGCTCACTTACAGCTGTGAAATATTTTTGACGTGCACATTTTGCAATGTGTGTTTCAGCGACTTTTTGTTAAACCTTATCCTTAAGTAAAACTTGAGACTAATAAAGGAACTTGAGCTGGGAACAGCAATAAAACAAAAATGCCACGGCAAGACAAATAAAGAGAACTATACACAAAAATTGTGTGAAGCAACTCACATTTGGATCTGAAGTTGATAAATTAACGAATAAAAATTAGTTTATATATCCTCCTTTAAAAGTTCTGATTTTGCTAGGTGTTGAGAAAATGGGCTGATAGTATTCGTTCTATAAGATCTATGATCTATCAAAAGAAAAATGTCATATACTACGATACAGTGCAATTAATCGATCAATACGGTTTAGTGTAAACAAAGCCTCCAAATGCCCTGGTACGGCCGAGAGTGGGGAGAGTCCGCTCTCCCTCTCGAAATACTCTCACACGGCCACGCGTATATAGCCTCTGCCAGGGAAGTCCTACTCACTGCCTTCTCGTGGCGGGGGTGTTGTTTACGAAAATGAGAGGACGAAAAGCGAATGTCCGGCGCTTTAACCGGATTCCAAACCAATGGTGCACATGGGCTCCAGTATCCTGCGGGAACAAACGGCGAATGAACCAATTGTTGGTCACCGGCTTCCATGGGACTGCATCTCCTTACGATGCTCCACTGCCTTGTGGATCAGACCTTTGGGTTGAAGGCTCGGGGTGTGGCCCCCTAAGAAAACCACCTGCTTCGGTTTGGGCACCCGGGCAGTATCACAGCCCTCACACATATCGGATGAGATTTGTGTGGCGCATATGTATTTGGTGTCTCTTTGTACCATTATCTATGTGTTGAAATAAAATAAAAAGTGTAAACAAATACCATAAACTAGAAGTTGATAGACTAAGTAAACGTACAATAGTTCAACAATTCCCAATAACAATACACGTGAATATAAAATATATGGATAGAATTTGACATTCTGTACAGGAGCTTTACAATATTTCGAAACTTGTGACAGTTCGCTTTTGAAGAATAAGAGGTCAATAGACATATATTAGTATTGAAGAAAGAAACCTGAGTTGATACTTTTCTGAATTCATTTACAGATGTAACAGTGTATCACTTACCATTAACTACAAAATTCCATTCAGTCAGTCAGTCAGTAACAACGTAGAACTTCATACGTACATACATCAGTTCGAGTTGCCATACCACATTAACACAGAGATGCAGTGGTCGATTCAAATCCCGTAGTGGTAGAGGTAATAAGAGTATAAGCAGTAATCAGGAAGATTAGTGTTTGGAGATGTTACTTAAAGAGTATAATACAGTGAAGTAAATTTGGGAAGAGAAAAAAAAGAGACAAGGAGGAATAAGGAGATCAAAATTTGGGAGAACACAAAGTGTATGCACCTGCGCCATTGCAAACGATTTTGAGCCATGTCATCCAGGGTCTCTAACCATCGGTTGCTATCATCTCGCGGTCCCCAACCAGGTAGTCTACACCTACCGACATGACTCAGACCACTTGTCAGTGAATTCATGGACTTGTGCCATGTTTTGGTCTGGCCGCCCCTAGCTTTCTTCCAACCTGCTCCTATACCACTGAACATCGCACGTCGAGGCAGTCGGTCGTTGGGCATAAGTAACACGTGTCCCAGCCATCTCAACTGATGAAGTTTCACTACTTCATCAATTGATTTGCCATCCTTACCTAGTACCCGTTTCCTAACAGCTGCGTTACTTACTCGATGGTCCCAGGATATACGAGCAATGTTTCGAAGACACTTATGATCAAACACTAGTAATCTACGAATATCCTCTACTCTTACCGGCCATGTTTCACTGCCATGAAGTAGGACGGAACGAACTGCAGCGCAGTAAACCCGTCCTTTGGTTGATACACGGATATCTCGCCTACGCCACAAGATTCCATTGTTTGAAGCTAAGCTAGTCTTTATAAGAGTACTTCTTAATGTACATTTAGGAAATTATCCTGACAAGGTTACTCAACTTTTATACTGCTTCATGTCCCCTGCGAGACGTAGTCTAGTATAATTTTAATACTACATGTGCTGTAGCACTGCAAAAAATTTACTGGAGCAACTTCATTTTCACCTGGATCGATAAGCTAACCAAATTTTTCGATGCTCTGATATCAACCTAAATTTCGTTTTAAAGTAACATTTTCCCAATGAGTTTCGCATCCTTAGAAATGTGAAAGCAAGTGATACGATGACAGCAATTAATAATTTCGTTAACTCCCGGCTATTCATATGATATGCAGTAGATTTGTAATCAAGAATATCAATGTGCTTGTGTAGCGATTCCCATTCCCCCTTCTGACATTTCGGGTGACGGGAGAGCGTGCAGAGCAGTGCGCGTGGAGAGCTTGAGAAGAGAACATCGAAATTCGGAGACTCATAAATAACAGAAGGTAATATAATATTCGATTATTAAAAGTTTGTAAGAATCAACAATACAGAATTCCTGAGATCTGGAAAATTAGGACTATTACTACCAAAAACTCAGTACATGGACGAACCAGATTCTGGCTACGCTGCTGTTAATGTGTAACGAAAACTGCGGTGACTTACACATAAATTCTCACAACCCATGTCAAATGTATGCACAGGTTATGATTGAATTACACATTTCTCGTAAACCATTTCATAACCAGACTGCTTTGTCGTCTATCAAAAAGCAGTTCAAGGTTGTTCATATCCCGAGCTTCTAATTTTGGGGAAAATTCGTGGTTTTTGTGCTATTTCCCCAGAGTTGGGATATTTCAACTTCACTGAAATCCCCAGAATAAGAATGAGATCCAGATGCACCTAGCTCCTGCGAATAGTATAAAAGTTAGCTGTAGCCGTTCATGTATAGCCGGAAGGTGCTGTGTACTAGGGTAACACGCAGACTTGCGAGGTGTTAAGAAACGGAACATTAGGAAAGGTAGGTTGAGAACTCAGTTTGTGCACACAATGTGCCTATATTTATTACGGAAAGCAATAGACAACAATTAGCAAAAGTACAAGCCTACGATTAAGGCAATAATAATATAGGAACTAGAAATATAGTTTAACCACATTGAAAGTTTGAAACCAAAGTTACCTCTATTTTGTTTCAACGACCTTGAAGAGCATCAAGTCGGTGACGTATTTTAAGGCTTGCTTAACTGAATTATATATGGACTTTATATTTTATAAAACGTCAAGTGACATTTATTCATGTATATAACGTTTATTCTTTCTATTTATTAGGTAAAGGAAACCTCTGTGTTATGCTTTGTAATTGTCGACGAGTTTGAGGTGAGTTTGGGTATTCCGTCGTTCCTTGACTGCCATAATTTTCTTTCCATTCATTCAATAGCGACACTGCGTTAAATATTTGTAATAATATTTCGATCTACCTAACCGTTACTTCTCGGCAGGTAATACAGTATCAAAGTTTCTTGACGAGGCCGATTTAACCATACCCTAAAGTCTAATACGGTGTTTGTTTTCCAGTATCCAGTACTTTTATCATAAGCTTGTATGAATCAATTGACTACTTTGCGCTCGCTACTCTTTGTTTTGGTATGGTCCCAGGTAGTTGGTTATATCTAATGGGTAGTAGTCCAACCACTCGATTGCACTAATTTATTCAGTCTGGTAGTTATTTGTGAATTTGTATAGCTCGTGGTTTGAGTGTGTGCATATGTTTCAGGATTGAAAAGGCCCTAGTTCTAGCGTCTATCTCATTACCGATGAGGAGGTAAATTGTTCGGAACGTGAAAATAATAAACTGAAAATGCGAGTGCTAAATGAAAACGATTATTTCAAGCATTACAAATAAAATAATCAACTGGTGATGTGCAAGAAGGAGGAACTTAAAGCGAAAAGTATGAAGTACCTGTTTGTCCAATCTCCTCTTAAGGTCATACAATGAGGGAGTCCTGGTCACTTCGACTGAAATAATATCTCAAATGTGGCAACTCTTCCTAAGAAAAGGTGACAGCCTATCTGAGTGTTCGCTCTCCGATATGCAAACTTTAGATGATGATGTCTTGGTAATACGTTCGTGTCGGAGTGACTTGTTATGCTTAATATGTCACATGCATTTGTAGAATCATATCTTGTTATCATTTACTCCCGCAAGAATAATTCAAACTTTCGGAATCAGTCCTCCGAAGATTTATGTTTTAAACCTTTCACCCATTTGTCCTCCCGTTTTTTTACTTTGTTGGTTTCAGGATGGGGCTGAGTGTCAGTCTTAAAGTGTTAGGAACAACTCTAGAGTGACAGCTTTGTATCGCGTACGCATGCAGTGAGGTGCTGAGTTTGTCTTGACTGCATTCCCAATGTGATTCGAGTTGTAGTTTAAGCTCGTCATGATTACTAACTCAAGTAAGCTCACGTGCACAGGACTAGAACGCACCAATGGATTCCTAACCTAACTGACAAATGATGCGTACGTCAAATGACGAAGTGAAACCAGGACAAAGTAGAGGACATACAGAATTACTTCGGCACACCGTTGATTCAGCACTTTCTAGACGAAGGACTACGACAAAATACAAAGTCATTAATTTATCTACTCACTGTGAAGTTTGATGTAGACGATGTATTAAAACTTCTTAGTAATTTAAACACCAGAAAATCAACATAATCAAATGAACTATACCTAAAACGTTTCGCAAGGTAGATTTGCCGGAAGGATGCAACTGTCACTCCAGGATCACGACAATTCTATCAAATTACAGACCTATTAGCCTCACTAACCTAGTAGTTGCAACTGTGAAAATAATCAAAAAAGCCTTTATAGCATTCGTGAGACCCAACAACTTGTTAAGCAGAGAGTAATGGTGTTTCAGGATGAAATTATCTTGCACAAAAAACCTCCTTATAGAAAAAAAAACAATAGACATGGTATCTAGATTTTGGTAAATCGATGGGTGTATTCTAACTGAACTTCGTCAAAGCTCTTGGTGTTGTGCCAAAAAATAGACTCCTCATGAAGTTGGGAAAAGCGAGTTTCCAGACCCCTATAAAATTTGATCAGGGAATTTTTGGTGGTTTTAAAAGAGAATAAAACAATAAATTTCAAGTGATTCTCTTGGAAATCGATAATTAGTGGAGTATTGCAAGCTCCGTCTTAGGTCCTTTTCACCTTAAGCCGTACGTAAATGAACTCAAGTATATTAGAGTCTCCGATGCCATTTTACTCTGATGAAGTGAAATTTTGATGGCAAATAATAGGAGTCAGATTCATTCGTACTTGATGTGAACTTAAGTTATTTTTGTTATTCATAAGCAGCTTATCGGTACATAAGTGTTGTGATGACACTATATCGGTCTTTTTTTCAGAAATGCAACGATGTGCAAATTTTACTAATATAACCATATTTCAATAAATTCCGTAGTACTCGAATGGATACCGAGTTGACTTTGAAGAACAGGGGAATGAAGGAAAAACGTACTGTGTCAATAACTCAATTGGTATAGTTGCGAAACGGGTGATCTTACCCGCAACGCAACCATGTAAACTTAATGTACCGGTCATCTGTGCGTTCAAGTAATCACAGATTTTGACATTTCATAATGTATTTTTAATTAAATAACTAGATTATATAGCTAATTTTGATCTTTTTTTATATTTTTATTCGCCACGTTCGACTGCGTTACACTGCACGCCCATTGCATGCTGGGATGATATCTCAAGTTATAGTGAGTTTATTCACATAGTTGATTGTTTCCAGATAGACTGTCAGTGCATGATTTTACTGTAGAAAGGTTTATTGTACTATAAACTATGTTTTTATGAACAACTACCTGTTGTTTTCAGTCGGAAAGCAATATATATATATATATATATATATATATATATATATATATATATATATATTCTTTGTCTTCTGTTCGGTAAGTTCAATTGGCCTATATTTCGTGTTTTTGTTTTATCGTCTTAATTATGTCCATTTAACTACTTTAAGCAATATGCCTGTGCAAATGAAACAATAACTATGACACTTGCTTAGTTTAGTATTCTTGGTTGTCGTATAATTCAGTTTAGTTGAAAGAATTATGGTATAGTGCTTGAAGTCTGTAACGAAACAGATCAGCCTAGTAAGTAGAGTTGCCTGTTTCTGATG